TCGATGACCTGCGGGAACATGGGCTGTCACAGGTCAATGACTTGTGAGGAGGCAGCCCAACTGCAGATGGCCCACGATCCATGATGCAAGCTTTCCCGGTATCGGACTGTGTCTTCACGGAACTTACCAAATTTATGAAAATGTGAGTGATTGGACTTTTAACATTGGTTGAGTAGGAAAGGAGCCCAGGGCTGCATATAAATGAGCATAAAGTGCAGTAAGACATTGCATGCAGATGCAGAAGTGGAGATGACCAAGAACTCAGAGGAAACATAGGGGAGAAGGCTGACATCACAAAGGCTGGGAAACTGAGCATTTATCTGTCACTCCCAGGGTATGCTGCCCCAGATGCACCTGGGTTGTAATTTGGGGCCGAGAGGAAAACTGGGAGGCATGGTGGAGGAAGTAGGGAGTGACTCTGAGGCGGCAACACTGGTCCTTGGAATGGTACACCCAAATCAGAGGTAGGGTGTGGAAGCTGTTGAGGTTGGCATCACCAGTGCGAGAAGATGTACTGCTGAAAAGCAGCTATTTCAAGAGCCTGATAAGGACTTAGTAGAGAGATGGAGTTCAACAGGGAGGGAGAGAGGAGGGGAAATCAGGACATCCAGGGAGGAACATAAGGGTCCTTCTCATCTCCATTACAAGCAAAGGAACAGCAGTACTGCTGGTCTCACTACAGGTGTGTGGTCAACTAGGACGGACGCCAGGACCCATGTGCTCTACCACTAAGCTACTTAGCTTGTTGGAAAGTACTGCATAGAAAGGATGGCAAAAAAGGAATCTGGAAATCAGTGAGGGCCACTGTGCGGGCTGAGGAGGGAGAGGGGGAGACGGGGCCAGAGAACTACAGCTGTTGCAGATAGGACTTGGCTCCCTGGTCCTGCAGCTTCCAGTGACTCCTGTATTACAGTGTTGTCTTCTACAATGACTACTTATTGCTCATAAAAGTAATAAAAAATATAGTTAAAAAAATACATGTATGGCACATGAATTTGGACATTCAGTTGTGGTTTTTGTTCCTGAGTTTCTTCCTCTCCTCCTCCTCCTGCACATACAGAGCCGGGACCTTCTGTTCCCCTTTGTCTTAGGTTTATTACAAAAGGGATATGTGCTTATAAGCAACGAACAATCCAGAAATGAAATTCATAATAACGTTCCATTTACAATAGCACTAAAAAAGAATACTTATGAATAAGTTTAATAAAGAGAAATGAAGGCTTATAAACTAAAAATTACAAAACTTTCCTGAGAGCAACTGAAGCAAATATAAGTAAGTGAAGATCCATTTCATCATCATGGGTTGTAACACTCAATACTGTTACAACAGCAATTCTCCCCATATTCATCTATAGTTTCAACTTAACTACTATCAAAATTCCAGCACTTTTTTTTTCTGCAGAAATTAACAAGCAAATCTAAATGTTTATAGTCATGCAAAACATATAAAATAGTCAAAACAATCTGGAAAAAGATGAAGTTGGAGGGTTTTACTTACCAATTTTAGGACTTACTGTAAAGCTCAGTATCAGGATAATAAAGACAAACATATGGACAAATGGAACAGAACTGAGAATGCAGAAAGAAATAATTCTACTTGTAGTCAATGTATTTTTGACCAAGATGCTAAGAATATTCATTGTGGGAAAGGACAATCTGTTCAGCAAATGGTGCTGGGACATGGGATGTCCACATGCAAAAAGATGAACTTAGACCTATACTCACACCACCCACAAGACTAACTCAAAATCAGTCATCCTAAATGAAATAACTAAAACAATGATACTTGCAGGAGAAAATCATGGAGACCTTAGGTTAGGCAAACATATCTTAAATAAGACACTGGAAACACAGACCATGAAAGAAAACAGTAATCAATTGGACCTCACCAAAATTCAGAACTTTCATTTCAATATTCACTATTAATATATACCTGTTGGAATGGCCAAAATCCAGAACCCTGACAGCAGCAAGTGCTGGAGAGGATGCAGAGCCCAAGGAGTGCTCAGTCACTGCCGGGGGACTGCAGAGTGGGGCAGCCACTTGGAAAGACAGTTTGGTGGTTTCTTACAAAACTAAACATACTCTCACAATATGATCCAGAAATAAGACTCCTTGGTATATACCCAAAGGAATTGGAAACTTATGTGCAAACATAAAGCTGTACATGGATGATTATAGCAGATTTATTCACAATTGTCAACATGTGGAAGCAACCAAGATGACCTTCTGCAGATAAATGGATAAACTGTGGTATGTCTGGACAGTGGAATAATACTCAGCACTAAAACTAAATGAGCTATCAAGCCATGAAAAGACATGGAGGAAACTAAAATGCACATTACTAAATGAAAGAAGCCAATCTGAAAAGTCCACATACTGTACAATTCTGACTACATGCCATTCAGGAAAAGGCAAAACTTGGGACAGTAAAAGATCTGTGGTTTTCAGGGGTTGTGGTGGAGCAAGGGATGAGTAAGTGGAACATAGAGGATTTTTAAGGCAGTAAAAACAGTCTATAACACTATAGTGGTGGGAACATGTCATTATACATTGTTCAGACCTACAAAATGTACAATATCAAGAGTGAACCCTGATAGTGCAGCATGGAGAATGTAGTCAACGATTCTGTAACATCTTTCTACATTGATAGATAGTAACTTCACTAGAGGGGGTGAGGATTTAATGATATGGGTAACTGTTGAACCACTATGTTGTACATTTGAAACTAGCATGAGATTGTATACCAATGATACCTCAATGAAAAAAAAAAGTGAACCCTAGTGTAAACTGACTTTGAGTGGTTATGGTGTGTCAATAGAGGTTTATCAATTGTAACCAATGTCCTACTCTGGGGAGGGGTGTTAATAATGGGGGAGGCTGTGTATATGTGGGAGCAGGGATATTTAGGGTATCTTTGTATCTTCCTTTAAATTTTGCTGTGAATTTAACATTGTTCTAAAAGTAGTCATTAAAGAAAGTCACCACTAAAGTGAGAAGACAAGCAACAGATTGCTAGAGAATATTTGCAAAATAGCCAGAATTTACTAAGAACACTTAAAACCCAATAAGAAGCTACTCCAGTAAGATAAACTAATCAAAATGGGCAAAAGAGATGAACAGACACACAGACAGAAGAAGGTATACAAATGGCTACTAAGCAAATGAAAAGATGTTCAACATCATTAATCATTAGAAAAATGCAAATTAACAGTATGAGATACTATTTCACACCTACAGGAATGGCCATATTAAATAAGACAGAAAAAATCAAATGCTGTCAAGGATGTGGAGAAACAAACACCTTTGTGCATTTCTTGAAGAAATGTAAAATGATGCAGCCACTTCAGAAAATTTCTTCAGCAATTTCTTAAGAAGATAAATACAAAATTACTGTATGGCCCTACAATCCCACTGTCAAATATTTACCCAAGACAAATTAAAAATCAGAATGTTTGTAGCAGCATTCTTTTTAATAGACCAAACTGGAAACAGACTAAATGTTCATCAGCTGGGAATGGATAGACAAAAATATAGTACATTTATACAGTGGAATATTATTCAGCAATAAAAAAGCAAACTACTCATATATGCCACAGTGTGCATGAACCCAAAAACATTTTGCTAAGTAAAAGAAGCCACATACAAGAAAATACATTTTGTATGATTGCATTTCATGAAATGTGCAGGAAAGGCAAATTTAGAGACAGAAAATAGATTAGTGGTTGCCTGAGGCTCAGGGAGGGAATGGGGATTTATCATAAACGGGTATGAGAGATGAAAGCATTCTAAAAGGGATTTTTGATGATGGTTGCACCACTTATTAAAGTCACTAAAGATCACTGAATTGCATATCTGAAATGGACAAATTTTGTGATATACAAAATATGCCTCAAAAAAGTTGGCAAGTAATATATGCATGGCAGATTAATTAATTTGGATATTAACTGTACTTTTTTTAAATAAAGAAATCAAAGTCAATAGGTTCTGCATATAGCTAATTATGACTGGATTTTTTAACACCAAATAGTAATGCAACCCACAGCTGAATATTAAACAGCACAAAGCCATGTATTGGAACGTAGCTAGTTTGTAAAATTTCCCACCTTTTGTTTTTAATATTTTTAATAACTGGGGAGATTATGTCTCTGAATAGAGAAATGCTGATATCAGAATATTAAATCAATGAAAAATAACATGAAAAATTGTGTCAAGGTCATTTCTGAGTTACTGCTTAATATGTTACTATATATTAAACATACCTAAAAATAATGGTAATTGATTTTGAAGTCATTTATGTTCTCCTGAAATTCTGAATCTGAATTATTTTAGATATCTTTTCTCCCTAAGAAGAATCTGATAATTTGTTACTAGGTAGTTAAAAACTGTATTTAACATTTATTTTCTCACTTTCAAGTAAGTTGATGAGTAAAGGGAAGATGAGTTGGTCCATCACAAATAGAAAGGAGAAGGGATCACTGGTAAATGACAATACTAGCTCCAACAGTGATTGAATAAACAGAATAAGGTGAATCAAACCACGAACACAGAGGTGGCTTTGCAGATCCAGGACCTATGCCGTTAGACGGGTCCACGTGCAAAAGGACCCACACTTGGCTTAATGTTCTGCTACTGTATCTTGATATTGTTTAGCAAGGGCCCTCAATCTTTGCTGGGCCCAGAAAATTCTATTTTGCACTGGGCCCAGGAAATTAGGAAGGTAGTAGTGCATGAAGAAAATGGTATGTGAAGAAAGGTAGCACTTTACTGTATTAGTTCTACTTTAATCGTTCTCATATGTTGAAGTGTTTCCTCTCTGTATGCTTAGAGTTAGAGAACAAAATGTTTGCCTTTCTGTGGCTGTACTCAGCTGAAATAATTCATGCAACATTCTAACTCAGAATCATCGTTTTACTCAATTTACTTAGGTCTTTGCAGATATTAACCAGGCTACCAAAAGACTGAGAAAATGTCGGACAGTGGGACCCAGTCAGCAGTACCTGTTTTGCCAGCGAGCTCATGGGAGTGATGGACCACGGGATTCTTTGCTGATGGGAAGGAAAAACAGCTGTCCAGAGGTCTCACTGCTGGAGGCTACTCCACTCCCGGTTTACACTCTGAGAAGACAAGGAGGAAGAGGTGCCAGACAGCATAAATGGTAGCTATTTTGAAACCAAAATCCATAAATTATGCTATATTAAACACACTTGTGAAAGCAAGCTGGTGTCATCTGCTAATGATGGTTTAGCTGCTGTAGAATTATATGAAGGTTATCAAAAGCTTTTTGTAAATGAATAAAACATATTCCAGAGAGCATATATTTTCTAGGAAATAAAAAATCTATTCTCTCTCAGCTTCTTATGAAACAATGCTCTTGTTCTGTCTTTTATCATCCTTGAAATCCTTACCCATGCCATTTCTTTCACCCCTTGTGAAGGAATCAAGTGATGAGACCTCCACATTCCCTTTTCACTAACACACATGCGGGGCATCACCCCACTTAGCTGATAGTGGCTGCCTCAGTGCGTAGATGGGGACTCCTAGCGGCATCCTTCCCAGCAGGAAAGTGAGTTGTGGCTGGTTTGGGATGTCTCACCATGGGGGACGTGGAGGTGGGGGCTGTGGACACAGGAAGGTGTGTGCTGTGGATCTGATCTTATAGAATGATCTGTTCTACGACTACTACCAGCCAAGTGCCCTAACGTCTGTAATTTCTTTTCTTTTTTTGCATTAGAGTGCACTTGAGAAACACTGATTTAGTTCTATATTTGCTATTTTATAGCCATTTACAACTCATCTGACATCACAAAGGAGGAAAGCCACAAGTAAAATGGAACCTAGACTGAAACCTTGAATAGTGCACAGCGTGACTGAAGCAGAAAGTTAACAGAATGAATATCAAGGCCTCTGTATTTTTCTTCATGATTTTCTTCTCTGGAATGCCCTTGTTTGTGAAACAACTCTTCATTCTTAAAACCTGGCTCCCAAGCCATCTTCTCCAGTAAGTTTTCCTGCCTTTCCAAGCCCAAGTCACTGCACTCTTTCGTTTTTATTTTTGCGCTTTTCACCATCCATAACAATGAGCTTATTTTCAAGACTGGTTTCTGTTCTAAATAGTGAGCCTCCCTGAGAGGATGTGAACATGGCTCAAGAAAATTTACTTTTCAAAACACCTATTAGAGAAGGGCTTATAATCTGGCTTCCTAACATGGCCCCCAAAGGCCTTTTATATTTACTACCAATATAACTGGGCATTAACAAGAAATGTTAAACCATCAGTAATATGTTGCTAAGACTGACAGAATATTTAGATACATCGGTATTTGTTTTGATTTACCTCCTCTTAATGTATCACAGGCTCCTCAATCGGGTAGGTGTTTACTAATCATCTACGAAGAACCTTGTCTTAGTTTCCTAGGGCTGCTGTAACTAAGTACCACGCTCCGGACAGCTTAGCACAATAGAAATGTATTGTCTAACAATTGCAGGGGGAAGAAATTAGAGTCAAGGCGTCAGCAGGGGCATGCTCCCTCTGCAACTTGTATGGGATAAACCTTTCCTGTCTCTTCCTAGCTTCTGGTGGTTTGCAGGCAATTCTTTGACATTTCTTAGCTTGTAAATGCATCACTCCAACCCTCTGCCTTCGCATGACTGGACACAAGTCATACTGGATTAGGGACCCACTATACTCCAGAATGATCTCATCTTAATGTAATTCATTTTATCTGCAAGGCCCTATGTCTAAAGAAGGTCACATTCTGAGATAGTGGAGGTTAGGACTTTAACATGCTCTTTGGGAACACAATTTAACTCTTAACTGACCCATAACTCAGTGATTTTACATATACTCATCTACTCATATTTCTACAATATGTTCTACTTGCAGCAATGAGAACGCCTTAAACTCCAAATAAGTTAAAAATATTAAAACCTCTAACTTGATCATTTAATTACAGAAACTTGTTTTATTTTTTCCTTATGTTAAAACATGGCTGGACTTCACTAAGATTTAACAAATACGCATGTTTGCAAATTGGAATCATTTAGTGTACATCTTCAATGATTACATATTATTTTTGATTCTGAGTAAAGTCCCTTATAAAATAAATCCAGGTTTGCTGATGTCACAAGCAGACTTAGTTTGGTCTACAACATCATATAATGAAGAAAACCACAGAATGCTAATAATAATGAATGTTTTGAATACTTTAAAATTTTATGAGTAGTATTTCAATCACTTGGATGTAGCGCTGCTTTGCCTTTATTATCTAAATAATTCCTTCAGTTTTCTGCTTTATACTTGGCATATAGTTAGAGTACATTTTTCTCCAGCAAAACTCTAATAGGAAACAGTGTGCTTTAGCATTACTCTTTTCATTTTTGTAAGACTTTTAAGGATAAGAAATGCTAAAGCTCAAAGAACAGTCATCAGCAAAATAGCTATATTGGATTAGCTTGAGAGAGTCTGTGATTGACAGCCATGTCGGCAATCACTGACGCCTATTCGGATAAGAAGCAAAGGAAGAGCTGATCATGATGCGCCGTTCATTCTGTGACCAAGACAAAAATGAAAAACGTGATAGTGAAACTGTCCTGTGCAATTCCGCTAGCTTCTTGTAGGAATAATGTGTGACGTGTAACTTAAGACTAGAGAAGCCAACTCCATGTAAGCAGTGTGACCTCTGAAAACACCCCGAGACCTGGGCACATCCTTTGCACTAGTACATTCATTAGGAAGGAAACAAATGGAAAATACAAAGTGAGCCCAAATGTAAGCATGAATCAAGAGGAAGTACCTCCACATCCGACTCTCTTGCCGATGGGTTTCAGCCCCCAGCAAGTTCTCTACGGAGTCAGTGTGACCAAAGAAATGACAGTAAAATGTTCTTGGGGTGAAAGGGTTATACCCAACTTATTCCCACGGTGGCAGGTCAATCACTAAAACCCTGTTTGCTCAGAGCGAGTCCGCATGCAGCAAGCTGGTCTCTGCCTCTGGGCCTCTCTGCCTGCACAGCCGTCCTCTGGCCCTCTGTCCTTGGTGCCTCCACCACCCCAGCCTCTACTCTGCTCTCCTGCAGCCTTGCAGCCGTGCCACCATGTCGCCCAGAGCACTGGGCAGAGCTCCTCCTATAGAGTCAATAGCAACACATTGTCCACATGTGTGTAGTGAGTTAGCCAACCAGGGCAAGGTGAGAATCCTGGCCACAGGAGCTTTCATTTTATCCACACCAACATAGTACTTCAATCCAGGGGATAAAGTTAGCATAAAGGTTTTTTATTAGTAGGATGTCACGATGCCTTAGAGTTTCCCAGGATTAGAACTGAAAATGCCTGTAGCAATCATCACCATCAGATTCCAATCATGGTGATGATGACAGCTAACATTTGGTGGATTCCAGTGTTGGTGATTTAAGACTAGTACTTGAAAGCATTTTTCTGTTCTACCAAGATTAGCTGTGGGTTTTTGGTTAAGTTACTAAATTAAAAGGAAGAACCTGAAGTCACACAGATGTTAAACAACTTTGACTAGATTTTTGCTAACATTCCTAACAGTACTTAAAGCCTATGATTCTACAATACAGACTGGTGAACTGTAATACAGAAGGACTATTCTCACTTTTATTACTGTATTATTTGACTAAGATTTACTGCTTCATTATCTAAGCAAAACATTATTAATCAATCTATAAAAATGCAGGGCAATGGATTTTAAAATGTAATCACAGACTGCAAGATGAGGCTTCATCATTATTCTTTGATTCAAGTATGTTTTTAATAAGACTGGTAAGATTTTAGAGTCATCTGCTGTGATGTGATTGTCATAGTTACATTAAAGTATCATTCTTCATGCTTAGTCCCTCCCTTTAAATATAATATGTGTATTTTTCAGTCTCCAAAAATATAAGGTGCCTGTAGCAGGTGTGTTATCAAGGTGGGCCCGTTCAAAACATCTTGGCATTGTCTTAGTATTCACTCTATTTTAAGTGAAAATAGTGACTTATTTAAATGAAATTTAAAATTTGATCAGTTACATTAACTGCACATAACAGGATCTTTTTATGTATCACACTTTTATGGTGTATAACTACTCTCTTCCCTTTGTTTACACTCTTTCTCAACTGAAGCATTTCATAAATGATTCATGTAATTCCAGCTTGTTTTGGTGAGATCACTAGAAAGGAGAACTAAAACTTTCATTTTTAAAGAGATTCAGTATGTTTTTTAAAAAAGTTACCAAAAAATTATATAGCCTTTAACATTCAAATTGAGCAATACTGTCTTGTCTTATATTAATGGTAAATTAAAACTTCATCTTCTCCCAAATATACTATCAAGTGAAATTTGCTATTGTTATGGTAAAGATACTGGGGTCTCATTTATCACATCAAATATAGTCATCTATTGCCCTAGTTCTTGAACTCATTAGCTGCTATTTGTCCTCAAGTAAAGCCAACAGGATAAGGTTCTTATTTAAACTGGAAATTCACACTTGAGGTATAATATGGGAGTGTTATCCATATAATACTTTAACTGGATCTTGCAGAACTTCTTATCTCACATACCAATAGACCAATATGCCAAAAGGATGTCTTTTGAATCTCAGTAATATTATTAAAACATTTTAAATCAACTATTGTGCATCACTTCACATTTAAGAATGAGGAAATAATTAGTATGTCAAGAAAATCTGTACTTAGCCTAGAAGTTAGAGACATTGTGGTTTTCTAAAGAGGTGTGAGGATTAGAAGGCCCTCAGGAGAAACTCCTTCCCTACCTTCTCCTGTGAGGAAGACATTTCCCACAGAATCAGGATCCAAGGTTGGAATCCTTTAACATGCTTTGAGGTTTGTAAGACTCATTGCTCTCATTTGTAAGGATGGTAACACTGCTTTTACCATTCCCCACAGTTACTGCTAAAATCAAATGAAATATTCCATATCAAATCAATTTGAAAAATATGGGAATGAATGCATATTCAAATACCAAAGACAGATATACACGGTGAAGAAGATACCAGCATGATTTTCAGAGGTACTTTCAGAATAAAAATTACTTTATTGAGGATGTGTCTAGCCAGTGGGTTTCAGCCCCAGACAAGTTCACTCTCGATTTGGTG